AGCCAATTTTATGGCCACAATAACTCACTCCCCCACCTGGGGGACTCAAAATTGGTAGCTTCCTCCACACTTCAGTACTTGGGATTGAAATTTGATTCAGTTTTATTAATTTTTTTATACGACTACATTTATAATCATAATTAAAGTATATCAATCAATCAATAAACATATCTAAACCGCACATTGAGCAGGTCACAAATCAAACAAGAATTAAGACAATAGACTGTACTAAACTTGCACTTTGACAATTAAGAATGGAATTTAAAAGTAAGAATCGAATTTAAAATTGCTTGTGATTACTTTCCGTGGTTTATTTGATTGTGTTTTAAGGGATCAATGCACGGTTTGATTATGCTCCCTTAATCTTATTTTTGCAAGGAAATGAGAATAAATTGTTTGGAGAAAATATATAATAGATGTGTAGTGTTTTTTTCAATAGATTATTATACAGCATTACGTGATAGTAATTTATTTTTATTAACATACATTTACTCTTTTAATATCATATATAATATTGTATAAAATATTATAAAAAAACATTATATATACTTGTAATATTATTTATATATAATCGTGTGGTCACATACACAATTTTATCTTGTTGTATCAGATTTTTAAGATTTATTGTGATATTTAATTGTAGGTTAAATATTATCTTTTGATAAATTGAACTTAAAGATATTTGTTTTAATACTATATTTATAATAGGGGTTAGTATTTGTCCGTTTTATTTTTAAAAAATTAAGAAGAAAAATGACAAAAAATATTTTAATTCATGTTTTAAAAATAAGATATTTTAATTTTTTTAATAAATATTTATTAAAATGATGTAGTTTTAAAATACTATTTTTTTTAATCTTTAAGAGATAAGGTGGATAAACACTATTTCTTTTATAATATCTAATAAGATTATAAATTTATAATTATAATGTATTATTAAATTAATAAATATATATAATATTATATATTTTTAAATAAAAATAATATTTAACCCATTATATATATCTACTTATTTAATAAT